TGCAAGTGTACTAACTCAATTCCACGTCATTTAGTAGGGCTCGCACGCTCTTTGTCCTCTCGCATGCTGGTTCGCGCTCTTGTAATTTTCCAAGCGACCGCGTGCTAGGATTGCGCTCCGTGAGTCTCCAGTTTGCTTAGGCACGCGGAAAGAACGATGACTTTTTATTGCACCACCGCGGTGCTTTCATTGCGTCAGCAGCGCCTTGCTTTGATAATATAAACGCTCTTTTCTTGACAAACATCGAAACGAGATTTTACAGCACAAAAGAATTCGCGAGACTCTTATGCTCGCGTGGAGAGCAGCTTCGCGTTTGAAAGGATGAAAAAGCGACGCACGCACAAAAGCACGCCATTTACCGCGAGGAGAGTTTCTGTCTCGGCGTCTCTGAGATCGCGTGATCGCTGCATAAAAGAGAGACAAAAGAACGTTTTCTCATTTAAAACGACACGAGCTTCTATAGCTCCTTGTTGATAAGTTCAAATAACCTGTTTTTACAACAGGGCATCAACAGGGCGCTCTTATTTCTATTTTTCGGAATGCGCTTTTCATATCGAGTTCTTTCGGCCGTTCAAAAGTTGCCTGACCAAACATCGATTTTTCCACTTTACTCTCAACACAGCGCAGCATTACGCGAAAAGTTGGTGAAATATCTCTAACGCATCAGTCAGCTTGAGCAAGGAAAAAGAGTGAAGCATCATTCAGCGCTGCGGTGGAAAGATTTCATCTGCTCGCTTATGCGACATATATACGACGAATCGGGTCGAGATAAAGGCATGGGAAATCTGCCTGTGCTCGCTCGGGTGGCTGCTCCACCATTAGCAAGTTTTATTGCGCGTGCTCACGTGGCTCCGACTAGCCTTTCTCTCTCCCTCTCGATTCTCTCTCGCCGAGGTAAAATTAATGCCGCGACGACGCTAGGACTAACGACTAAAAGGAAAGTTTCTAATTAATGCAGCAGATGCGCGCTGCTCGCCTTTGTGCGGTCGCGCGTAACGTGTGCCCTCTGGCCCACTTACGTTAGTTCTCTGTAAAGCGGGAGGGCACCGAACCAACGCGTTTGCATTCTCGATCACACTCACGTACACGTGTGCAAGAAAAAAATAGTCATTTTTCTCGCGGCGAAAAATTGCGCGCGTGCGCGCGAGATAACAAATTTCGGTCTGGCTTATGCAAAAGAAGAGTGGGTTTAACATCGTCAAATAATTAGAGCGAGACCGCACGCTCTAGTTGGCATCACAAGTACGTGTGGGTGCCTCTACATGTATGCGGTTACAAGAAGATTCGAAAGTTTCGCTTGCGCGCCGTCGATGTCGTTCATGCTGGTTTTGGCTTTACTTTCTTGTTAAAAAGTTTTTCATGCCACGAGCACTCAACGATAGGGCCAAAGGATATATCCAGGTGAGATTGTTCCTTCCTTTTTCGGGGCTAACTTTCCTTTTTCTCTTCTCTACTCACTGGCTACAGGAACTGAGAATCTTCGGTCTTGCGCACAGTTTGGTGTGATATCGTTTGTTTGCAGAATTGCTTGTGTGACTTCGGAACTTTTAGTTTTAATTTCGTCCGATCTACTGTTTTGCTTTAGTTCTACATGTCACTTTAGATATACCAGGATGAAAAGTGCTTGCGTTATGATTTTAGATTAAAAACAATTAGTATTTTTGAAACAAGCCGTTGTTTTCGAAAATTGTTGTGACATTTCGTGCTATTCGGTAAACAGAACGGTTCTTAAGGCTGAAATGAAATATCCTATCTCTCTGCTCCGTAAACGCGTAAATATCATTCTTGCGAATTCCCAGAGCGTAAACTATGTGTAACTAGCTACGAAACACGTAAAATCACTTTTCATATGTCACTATATTTCGCATTAATCAATAACTAAGAATGATGCTACAAATGTGAAACAACGTGATAATAATCAATGATGCTTATAAATCATGAAAGACCATTAAAAAACAGTACTATATCAAGTCGATCAATTCTAGCATCATATATCCGCAAAAGAAAGAAAAAAAAAATTAAAGCCTCTAATAGCTGGCTGGAACATAAATATATGTCCCTTCAGTCAGCATCCGAGACTTTATCTAGTCGGGGCATTAATCTTGAAAAATGATATCGCTGGCAAATACAAATATATATATATATATATATATATATATATATATATATCGTAAAGAAAGCTAAAAAAGAAACAAAGCTTACAGCTCCACGTGAGGCTGAATTCGCTAACTATGCCCTTTTATACCCACTATATTCTTTTCGTAAAAAAAAAGGTCAGCGTACCCTTCAATAAACTACCATTAGGAAAAACTCCCTTAGGGGTGGGGGACAAGCATGACCTAGTGCGCGCGCGTTAGTGCGGTGAGCGTAAACAAAGTGCGAGCGTCGAAACACACACACACACACACACACACACAAAGAAATACAGCAACGTTCTAGTTTTGTGATGACGCCGTTGTTCGCTGCGCTGTTGCCTGCGGTTTAGCGTAATTTTTAAAAAGGCTCCCGGCGACAACGGCTCCGACGATAATGGCTGTTATCAGCGTGGAATTTTTGCACCAAAGCCCACTCGCGTCAAGCCTTGATTCATAAAACTGCTACGTTGAAAATTTAAAGCACGTCGGTTATCATATTTTTACTCCTGAGAAAGGGCCAGTTTTTGTTGATTGTTTTAGTAACTTTATACATTGCTGAGAAAAAAAGTTTCGTTTATTATTTTAACTTTGAAATAATGAGAACTGTGGTCTTTATGATATTTGCGTTAAAGAAAGCACGAATCGGTGTATCTCGCTGAAGTTGCATGAAATTATGTATTTTGATTTGTTTCCACGTAGGATGTATAAAACTCGTACAGTTTCGAACGTAGCTGCAACGCATTATTCAACATACGGTAGATCGTATTTTACATCTCGTTCGCAGCAATTTGAGAACAGCAATCGCGTGCTTCTCTCCATAATATTGTTATAATAATCAATGATGAAATTCCAATAATTCCTCCGCAAAATTATCGCAAAATTATATTAGGTATCAGTAGAACATCTAGCCTGCACGCCATTTTATAAATATATTGTCTTTTTTCCGCGCGCGCGTGTGTGTGTGTGTTTGTGTGTGTGTGTGACACGAGATAATAAAAGACGAAGCTTCGTAAGTTCGCCTGTATTTTAGCACGCCATTCCGTGGAGCCCTTTGGCGAACAGTACACTTACCAATTACAGTACCGTACGAGTAGAGCAAGGCCCCTTTGCCTCCCCTGTGGATAAAATGAACTAGGATGCATTATCGTAAACAGACGAAAACAAAAGGCCGTGCGGAGGATTACAGCAGTAGAAAAGGAGGACACGAAAGTGAGACAGCAGCCATGTACGTTATATTCGCGACCTGGAAATGGCTTGAAATATTGTCGACCTAAATGGAAAAGCCAGCCAGGCATCGAGATATCCATTATCTATAAATTTTCGCGAGGGCAAAGAGAAGATAAAGCGAAAGATCTAGGTTGCTGCTGCCATCCTCTCGCTCGCTGTCCTTTCGCTGAAAACAATTCACGTCAACGCGAATATAAAAGCGCTCCGCTAATAATTTCATTTCGCTCGCGGCAACAGCTAGAGAGAAAGCAAATGCGTTCGTAATCAGGAGAAATGGAATTAGAGTGAAAGCTCGCTCGCGGGTGGGGCGAGCGGGACGAGCGGGACGGGTGGGCGCGGGTACGGAGTTAGCGTCGCCTCAATTAGCGAAATCCAGGTGCGCCGCCGCTACTTTCGCGACTCGGAAATTCGCCAGGGTCGTTTCTGCCCGTTACTTACTTCGAGCCTTCGCGTGCGTTTATGAATAATTACTTTCTTGCCTCTTGCCGAGATGACTGCTGTTTGAGAGCGGATGAGATCGGATTCGCACTGTTGCGTAACGTAAAAGAGGAACAGTGGAAGGGAATACGTATCCATTAGGTTTCATCCATTAAGATAATTATTCGACCCTTAACTTACGCCAACTGGCTGATAATTAATCATCGTTGAATCTCGACATTCGATAAAAATAAATAAGGAAAATCCTTTTAATCAGTAATACATTTCATCGTTAAAAAATTGTTTATATCTGACGTTCAAACTGACGTGGTCATATTTCGTACTTTACTTATTTTCAAACGTCAAATCGACTGCGCGCACGGGACTCTATCCATTGGTAATGGCAACTGGACACTTTGTGGGTTTGAGCGGACGGAACCGCGGGGAATCGCCGAGTAATCAATCAATGCGCCGTCGGATAATGAAGTCGCTTGAATCGTGTACACTGCTCTCGTGCGGCTCGATATGTGACATCTTGGTGAGGTCGTAATTTCTGTAATGTTCGTGCTCAACTTATGAAGAAGCTAATGCACTGCGACTCCAATTTTGGTAATACGTTTCGTGTGGAATCGGTAAATTGAGCTATGGATTTCGATCAGTCGCTGCGTCCTCGACTACTCGTTAATATTGCATACAACCTTACTGAAATATTACTGAGCTGTATGCCCGAATGCTTCATGAATTTTCAAATGCAGTTTGCCACTTCAACAATTCAGAATTTATGTTTGCTCTCAGTAATTGGCAGGTTATCTCTGAACGAGCTTTAAAATTGCTAATGTTGCGATGTATCCTAAACCACGGAGAAGATGCACTAAAGAAGCATTTGAATAATAATGGAAGTGCCAGTATTTCCATATAACTTGCTCGAGAGTGACGTAAATACGCGTCCCTGGACGAAAAATTTACAGCGCTTTCTCGTATTCCAACTTGCATTTACATTTGTAATGTTATTCAAATGAGATGAGTGAGCAAGCCGCATGTAAGCCCTGTGGCAGCTGTTTTTATTTCATTTTAAAGATTCGCAACTGTGCGTCAACGTAGGTGCAACGCGGAAACCATTGCGCGACCCGCACCTCGCGAACAATTACATAAATTCCAAAGAAAGTTGAGGCGAAAAGTTGCTTTTACTCATGTCAACATCGTTGATTCTTGTGCTTGCAGTTGGCTCGTCAAAGGTGGTACGAGTCGGATGAGATGAGCCGAGGTAACAGCAGTAGCGCCAGCTTCGCCGGGCCACCGTCGCCGGACGTAGCCTCGGGCCAGCGGCAGCAGCGAGACACAGGAGCATAAAGCCAGACGAGGCGGAGAATAAACGGCTCGGCCGAAAAGATAAAGAGGAAGAGGGCCGAGAGGGAAGAAAGCGAGGAGAGAAAGAGGCGCTTCTTTTCCGTCGTTGCGCACGGAGATAAGAAACGAGCTGGTGAATATTTGGTAGTGCTCGCACGTTGGATGAATGAAATTACGCGCGAGGGCTCGTAGCGGTGGCAGTGGCTCGAGTGCGGATTAATATTCGGACGAGGGTGCTGCTCCAACGGAGAAGAGAAGAAGGGCCCGGAGTGAAATAGCGGTGTAGCGTGGTGCGGCGACGACGGCCAAATAATCGAGTGCGCTATTGCAAGGTGCGCGTGTGCGTGCACGGGGCCATGACGGAAAAGACGGCGAGAAGGTAGTGGCGATGGCTCGGACTGCGTGGATCCTACGATGATCGAGGCTGCGTCGTCGTCGAGCAGCTGACCGTCGAGTCGATCCTGTTTCGACTTAGGCCTGTACATACACTCACATATCCGCCTGGACTGAGGGATCCTTCGGGGTTTAGTGGAGAGACTGGCGGCAGACTTAGGGTGAGCCCCAGCCATCTTCGCAGGCTCGTACGACTGGCTAACGCTCGATTGCCACAGAACGGCGCAGGCGAAATCAAGCCGAGGAGGGAGGCTCGTGCGGCAAAACGCGGTGGACGAGGGCACGGAGGATGCTGAGACGACTGCTGGAGGCCTCGGCGAGGGCCGCCGGGCAGCCTCACAGCAACAGCCTGCCCACGGCCACGCTGGCCCCGGTGCTGCTGCACAGCCAGGCGGCTGCCAACCTGACGGCGCCGCGGCCGCAGCCAAATAGCTCGGCCGGCGGAACACCGGGCCTCTTCCATGCCGCCTCCACCATCACCACTCTCGTCTCGTCGGCCCAACACCAGTTCCAAAACTCCAGTCTCTATCTCCTACCCGCGCAGGCGTCCGACAACGATGGCTTCGAATACAGTGAGTATTGCCGTAGCGAGCTCTTCTCCGATCTGTCACCTGTCCGCTCGCTTTTCTCACGGGGCAAACCATTTTCCAAGTGTAGAAGTCTTGGTCCGACGACTATTGTTATTGCTACCGCGCTATTGTTACTGCTGCTCCACGCGCATCTCAGTCTCTCCTCATTACGCGCTGGCTGCCATTGCCTGCGCGCGTTAAGAGGCTTACTCGCAGAGCACCTCCCCAAGTAGCAGTACTCGGAATCTTTGAACTTCGCGAAATTCGCCACCCGAATCTCCCGGCAAAGGTAGGCCGAGCCCGAGCATGTCTTGCTAATCGAGGCTGACACTTGTTTTCGCTGTCTTTGTCTCCCTTTGCCAACGTAGTGGCGCTCGGTGGCCAATTGAAACGCTGATAATGGCGACACTAGTGGGACTTAGCTTGTCCGTAGCTCTCAGTCTAGATTTACTCGGCACAATCGATAGGCACCACGTGCAACCGGTCAAGCGGCTCTTTCCGCTCGAGATTTATCGGGCACCTTATCTCTCGTAGACGCGCGCCTCGTTTGCATACGATTTCGGTTGGCCGCCCTCGCGACAATCACCTCCTTCGCAAAGTCTTAAGATCATTAATGTTATTATTACAGCTGATAGGTCGACGATGAGAATGGGATACGGAATTTTATTGGAAATTCGGGATGCTCGCGCGTAATGCCGTCGAGCCACCGCAACTATCGCTATTCTCCCGGTGTTTACGGTCAACCGGCTGTGTAAATCGTGCCCATTTTTTTTATTTCCTTTTACTGGCGCCGTTATACGTGTCGCTTCTCTACGTTGCAAACTGCAGTTTACGATGTGATCTCGATGCGGCAAAAAAGTGCAGTGTCTCTCGTCGCCTTAGCCATGCGTTAATTTTAATTGTAAGCCCCGAGACTTTTACCGTGATAACTTTGTCTTTACAATCACTTTAATGGCTTTTCCTAAAGTTACATATAATATGCAAATTAGATTGCCCTGGATAATTGAAAAATAACTTACTTCTTAAATGGTATAGTTCGTATTCGAGTCTTGATTCATGAATTTCTTGTCGCGCGTGAATGGTAGGATCACCTCGCAATTGCAATTCCGAGGGTCGTCAGTGGAATCCTGGAAAAACAGAGTGGCGCGCGAGATTCGATAAATCATCATTAGAATGCAGCGAGTGTATTACATTTGATTCGCTAGCAAAGTCCGTCAGAAGCCGTTGAATTTCAATCTGTGCCTCGGCAGCAACTTCAGGTTTCATCCGGCGTAGACGACAGGCAACGCCCTTAGCGAACAAGTCCAATTGATCGCAGGGCTTACGCTCTGTTAGTTGTGAATTGGTCTTGATCAACTGTAAATATTCGACATTAACGTAGGCACCCGATCATCAAGATATATGTTTCACCCCACCTTGTTTGAATCGGGCGTCGAGACTTCCAAATTAAGTCGTATATCCGAATTTTTCGGAGTAACGGAAGATAAGCAAAGTTCGGATAAGCCCCCGCCACGACTTCTCGGGCTTGGGGTCTCGTCGCAGTAGTTGCTGCTATAAGTGCTGCAAGTCTGCGCGCGGAGTTTTGTCAGTTTGCATTTGCTCGCTTGTTTTCAAGATTCATTCGCGAAGGCGGAGCCACAGATTACAGAAAACTTACTTCGATGTCCTCGCGTTCGTCGACATGCAAATGTGGGTGGAGAAACTCGTGAATCTCGTCGAACCAGCAGTGTGCAGATTTGTATACGGAACCGTCTGATTTAGCATCTGCTATTTTTCTCAATTCGTTTACGTAATATTTTCTCACTTCGCGCAGCTTCACTATAACCTCGACGAGATTGACATTGGGGACGCAATCCTTGATTTGATCGTAAATATTCCGATACGCCGAGCGTCTTGCACAGTAATCAAGATACAGAGTGTTGCCTTTGTTCCATAAACAAGGATGTTGACGGTAGAGTTTAATCAAATTGGAAATCTGATGCGTCGGCCATCGAACTCTTATGAAACACTGTATACGCTCCTGATTTGGGTTGTGCCAAAAGTTCATGGCATTACGCACAGTACGATTGAAAATATCGAATTGGTTTTTACTCTACGATTAATTTAAAAAATAATCGATTGTTTATATGAAAAAGTTCTAGAGACACAACCTCCAAACCAGTTTGTTTCCTGTCAACGTTTTTCTTTTGTTTCATTTCACTTGGTCTATGACTTTACACTTTGCCAAACAATCTCAATTAAATGAAAAACAACTTTGAAACAATTCCGACTCTTCACAAGTTACAAAAAATAGCAGGGAGATAGCACACGCTCCCTCCCGTAAAATAAAGCACTTAAAAGAAGTTGCAAGCCATCGATTTCCAACAAACTCGAAGTTTCCAAACTTATTACCTAATCTTATTGTGTATCCTTTCCTAAGAGAGGGGATGCGCTCCGGTTGTCAAAAAGGCTCTTTTCCGTAACTGATCTCTTTGGTTCTTTCCATTTTGTCATCGTTTGCCCACTTGCCTTTTATCAGCATTGCGCTCGGCGATCGCTTCGACTTGTGACTTCTAAAAAAGGGATTGGGTCTTTTTCTGCGATTCTTGCCTTTGAATGCTACCACTGCTGTCCGCTCGTAAAAGAGGCGTCTTTCACTCTCCCCTCCCCCTCTTGACACTTTTCTTTTTTTTCGCTGGGGCGCACCAGCCTTTGGACTTTACGAGGATTAAGTTTGCCTTCTACTTGGGCCAAGGAGAGGAGAAGATTCTTTTTTCACTTGAATCGGCGGTCTGGATTGGCTACATTTTTGGCAGGCTTTTAGAATGATGATATTCCAAGGGATTTTCATTTTTAACATCAATATACCTTTGAGAGTTCTTCTATTGTAAGAATGTATATTTCGAGAGCGTGCTGGTTTTCCTTTCATCGGGACGCTTTCATTTGCGAACTCATTGAATTTTTGAGAACGTCTATCTTTGCAATTCTATTTCTCGCCGATGCCATTTATTCGTCTACATCGTAACAAAAGTAAATTTTAATCCATACTCGGAGAAAGAGCGAAAGTTATATCAGTAACCGCGGACAGTGCTTCAAACGGAAATTCATATTCTCAGGATTGAAAAGGCGCGCAAGGGTGGATCAGTTTTGCAATATACTTGTGGAAGCATTTAGCCCTCGCCTGAGTGCGCAGATTAAATCAGCAGACAAGCAGCAGCGGCAATCTGAACCGCCCAAAAAGCCAAGACGAATGAGATCTGCTCGCGCGTGGGAGAGACCGGCGAATGATTAATAGCGTAGCTTCAGTTCTGATGGCAAAAGCCAGCACCCGAGTGCACGCGCACAAAGGCCGGGAGTGCGCGTCCACTTTTATTAGCTAAACTTTAGTTTGCCAAGGGGAATCAAAAGAGAGAGAGAGAGAGAGAGAGAGAGAGAGAGAGGACAAAGTTCGCTGCCTATCACGCGGCTAAATTCCAGAGCGAAATTTAACGCTTATTAGCCCAGCAGCGATGCTTGGTATTCTTCCCCGCCGATTTCCCAAAGTCGTCACACTGCCACGGCCATTCTATTTGTCGAGGGTGGTCGCTTTGTGTGTCCGCTTTCAAACTTCATTTTTCAAACGGTCTTATTGGATTCCTCGGGCAGACAGGCGTGAGCAGCGGCAAGAGATAGGGGGGAGAGGCTACTTTGTATGTAATTTCGGCACGGATGAGCGCCATTCGTGTTTTGCGTGTGCGCTCTGGAATTCCCCCGCAACATCACACGTACCATTCGTGCAAATATTTCCATTATTTTTGGTGGCTCCAACAGAAAATAGTCGGCTCGCCGAGGTACGTAACGCGAAATATTGTTCTTCCATCCAGTTTTCAATTTGATGTGGTATTTAATAAAGAAGCCTCGACGGCAGATAAAGAAACACGTAGCAGTGAAAATAAACGTCTAATTTAACTATAAAAATCGAGCCAAATAAGTTGCAAATTGAGCGGATCGCCGTGCGACGTGTAAACAAAGCACTTTCAGGATCGACTGCAACAGTGCACAGCATCGTGAGCCTGCGCTCATGTTTAAAAATGAGCGGAGCCCATTTACAAGCGCATAAATTCAGTGGTGGTAGTATAGCGGTAAGTTGAGCCGATAATAGAGCAAGCTTCGGGCAGACGATTTGCAGTTGGCCAAAACGCCGTTGACCGTCACGTTCGTTTCATATCCCAGGGATACTAGATATTCGAATAGGGCTTGGGATTTCTTTCTTCGAAAAATTGAACTGCCGTGGTCGAGCTTCGATTCTCCGTCGGTGAATAGGAGGCGCGCGGAGAGCTCGAAAGTGGCTGCATTGTGCGTATGCCAGTGTTTCCGAGGGAGCAAACAGTAGTGCAAATCAGTGATCGATCAGACTTGATACTCATTCCTGTCTCTCTGTGGCCGCTGAATATCGTATATTCGTGAACGAAACGAAACCGTTCGCTTTGGTAATAGATCGGTTTCTCGGTGGGCATTCAGCAATGCAATGAAAGCAGCGCACAAGCCACGAGTCTGAAAAAGCGTCGAGGGAGACTTGATGTTTGCACTTAATCACAAGCGAGCTGCCGCGCTCTCTCTCGGTCTTTCTCTTGCGCGTTTGAATTGCTCGCGCAGTCCCGCGGGCAGATTAGACGACGTGCATGTACACACTTTGCTAGCTGAATGCGGGTCTGCTGCTACTTGAGCTTCTCTCTACCTCTCTCGGGGGGGGGGGGGGCGGATGGGATTTTCGTTGATGAGAAAATACTTGCTAACGACTTTAGTGGATCCGTCGGCCATTGAACATCCATCGCCGGATTGAAATGTTTCGATTTCACACGCGTGTGAGCCCGCATGATTGAAAATTCAAAGAATTGAGGGAAACGCATGTACGAAAGCTCTTTGTGTGTTCTGTTTTGTTGTTTACAGGTATACTGGCGGCATTTTCAGATATGGAAACTGTCCTTTTGGCCTGCATCTCCACTTTGGTACCTCTGATCGTCGCTTTGGGACTGGCATTTGGCATCAGGTGAGCTCGGCAATTTCCCTCTCGAGTACTACGGGCATGAAAATCTTTTGAATTTCGAATGTGCGCTACAGCTCCCGCGTAAGATCGCTGCTCTCGACGCGCATTTTTACAGACGTGGGCTCTCTTCCTTCAGCGATTAGCTTGCCTCTGTTTTAGGAATAAATTTACAGACAAAGCTGAAGAAGCGAGTATAGAGATATTCTTTTTCGCACGTGTGACATCAAAGGGAAAATTTTACTTTCTGACTCTCTAACTCGAGACATTTTTAAGTCTTCAAAAGCCCGGTTACGAATTGCTCAGTTGGAATTTCAATACATAACCAAATCCTTTGATGCTTGTTCCTCGTAATTTTTCGTTTTTGTATTTTCATAATTGAAAGTCCAACAATTATGCAAGCGTCACTTTAATTTAATTTAATTTTTACTTAAATAACATTCAACATCTCACCTCTGGTTTTCATAAAAAATGTCATATTTCTTAAGCATCTCTCGAAAAAAAATCTCCAAGTGATATTCTGCCAAAGCAAGCTATTAAAGTAAAGCTCTCTCTCTCTCTCTCTCTCTGTTATATCCGCTCTCGTTCGCTCGCTGGCGCACGTGTCATTTGAGCTAGCGCGAAAGTTACGAGGCCGGAAAAATTAGTAGCTACTTCGTCATAGAATTTCCGGGCGAACGAGCCCGTGTTTCTCACACTCTCTCGCTCTGCAGGGAGAATATAATGCTACAATATATGCGCGCAGCTATACGGACACAAAGTGAGAAGTGAGCTTTTAGCTAGATGAGCGAATTACGAGGTTCACGGCACCGTTGCAGCGCCGCTTCGCTACAATACGAGTGACTTTGACGTTGTCGTTACACGCGAGGCAGACAGAGAGAGAGAGAGAGAGAGAGAGAGAGAGAGAGAGAGAGAGAGAGTGAGAGAGAGAGAGTGAGAGAGAGAGAGTGAGAGAGAGAGAGAGAGAGAGAGATACAGACAGAGAAGAGGAAGGAAAGGCCCAGTTGAGCTATCTTGTCTTTGCCCGATTAATCATGCACCGCCGAGCCTATCCAGTTGCTTTCTACGTAAATAGTAGATTGGTAATGGACGAATTTTTTTAAATGGAATTGAGGATTTTTCCCTTTTTCTCAATGTTCGTGGACTCTCTCGCGTATTGTAAACACGCGTTTTTTGCACTGCGTTAGAGAAAAATATGCGCAGGTCAAACGGTCGGATATAATAGAAAAATTTGAGAATAAGCGCTTGGTTTTGAATGAGATCGTGGACGGTAGACGCGTGTATTTGCAAAATGCAAATGCATCTTGCCGCTGCTGCCCGTTATCCTAGCTCATTCTCAGTTGATAATCGCACGTTCTGCTTAGTCTGCAAAGTTCTATTCGTCCTCGACAAATAAAGTTATAACGCTCTAAACAGATAGAAACAGACAGGCCGTAATAGGAAAGTTATTTATTGGAAAAGTGGCAAACTCGTCTGATAGCTGATTCGCAATTGCAGGCACGTATGGCGAAAGTATAAGGACAGACGGACAAGCACGGCGAGCGCGTTGCCGTGGTACAGGGGAGTCTGCTCGCGGCATAACACTTGCGAGTCGTTGCGCCACAACCAGGCCAGCATTCAGCCACAGGCTACGCAGATCCTGTCCGCACAAGACGTGAGTACTCCGCAATAACAACAAAAAAAAAAAAAAAAAAAAAAAACCAAGGAAAAGAAAAAAACCAACTTTGCTCTCGGAGAGAGGCCATTTGGCGGTATCTTCGCGCCCACGAGGCAAAGTGGGCTGCGCCTGCCTGCCAGAGAGAACGAGTTAAAAGTTCCGCGAGATACGAGCTGCGGCAGCCGCGCACCGGAGAAAGCAATTTCCCCGAGAGCGGCGTGGGACACACCACGCATCGATCGGATTCCCTCCTCTGCCGCGGACTTTCGATTAGCGAACTCTGCGCTATCGCTCGCGCGTTCCACATTTTACCGGCTTGGCATGCTCACGCTTTTGTTTTCCTTGGTCTCGGAGTGATGCACGCGTGGCAATCGTACGGCTAGTTTACATTTTTCCAGTTAGCCAATCGAATGATTCTGATTGGTTTTTATCTCCGAAGAGCGCCGCAGTGTTGCTTTGATAGGTGGAATTTTTCGCTCGAGTCCCGTAGTTAATCAACGCGCTGGTCTTTTATGTACATGTAGAATTAGTTTCTCTCTTTCTTTCAGCCACTTTTGACGACGGAGTTTTGTGATTCCATTCTACGTTTTTTTTTTCAAGTATTTCAAGTTATTTCAAATTACAAAATGCATAACTTGAGTCGAGTTTTCAACGAGCTTTAACTAGCACTTTATAACCAAAACCTTTGAAAATATAAAGCCATTCATTATGCTCGCTTCGTTAGCCTATATATAGAAAAGTAAAAGAGGCAAAGATAAAGGATGAAAAGTCGCGCGGATCGCCGCGTTAAATCGGCTTTTGATCCGAGAGACCGCTAAAGAGCCAGCTAATTTCCACGCTCGCACTCGGCAAAAGATAACTCCAAAATCCTCTTACTTTTCGCGCGCGGGGTTAGTCCATCAAGAGCGCATTAGCCGCCGCACGCGCGCCGTCGCCGTCTTGTTTAATCCCTCCGCCTGCACTTTTACATGTACGCATGTGAGGGAAAATAGGCAGCATGGATTATCCCGGTCTATTTTTCAATTACTGCGACGTGAAAACGAAATTTCGCCAAGTGCCTTTGTCAAAAGACAATTGCGAACAAAAGGAGAAAAAGAAGAGAATTAGCGGTAGGAAAGAAGTTGAAGCGCTGAGTGAAGGAGTTTTCTCACAAGACGATGCGACGGCTGACACGAGCGAGAGAGAGAGAAAGGAGGGGGGGAGGGGAATTCGATTTATCGGGTCAGTGCGCCAAGGGAGGCTGGCGGGTGGGTAGGAGGCCCCGTCAAGATACACTATTTCTCCATTATACTTACGCCGTTTATCGGCCATAGTCAGCAGGCAGCGACTTATTGAATATTTCAAATGGAATAACGCGAAAAACTTTCAGCCCGCGCGGCTAATGCGCTGATGGCTCTCTTCTCTTGACTTTGCAACTTTCTTTCCTCTCGTAGACGAGCTTAAACCGACCTTCTTCCTGTTTTCTGTCGCATTAAAGTCGTTCGACAGAATTAGCTATTCAAACTAGAACTATTAATTGTCAAATAATTCGTTGCCTCGGATAAAATCTGACGGTGGCAGTCGGCCAAGGGAAAGCTACGTAGTTCTTTTATCCGTCAGCGCATACAGGTTTAACTATTATTTTTTCTTGTATCGAAGCTGCGCGAGTGCAGCAGCGGGCGGGCGAGCGAGCGCGCGATAAATCTCAAGTTCACGAGCAATTCCCTTGGGTGCAATCAAGACGTGGCTTTGGGCCGGCAATTGGCGAGAAACACGCGGCCGTTTATTCGTGCGCGCCCTTATTCTCTCTCTCTCTCTCTCTCTCTCTATATATGTCTCAGATGCGGCGCACCAAGCTGCATTTCTCGGCTTATCTGCAACAGCAACTTCACCGCTTTGTGTCCGGTTGCCAAATACACAGGCGCTGCTCGTTCTCATTAACCGAGATTAGCTCTCGTTATTCTCTTTTCTGTTTTGCGAAAGATCAACGCACGGCAGAAGGGAAATATATTCGCGCGTGCGGGAGGGCAATAAATTTGTTCGAAGCGGCCGATAAATCAAACGGGACTTTCAATTCTGCACTCTCGACCCCAAGTTTGATATCTCGGGAGTATTTCATTTTTACAATAGACCGTGGCTGTTAACTTTACCGACGTCGTTTCTCTATGTCGTCGAAACGCCGCACCTTTACCCTGCGTAACTCAATGAAATTCAATATGATTCCGGCCGTAAAGTTCATCGCCAACTTTCGTAAACCCTCCGTGGAATGGCCAAGTTTGCCAACTTTAGTTCATCGTGACCCTTTAATACGATGTTTCGATGTGCGGTGTATGTACATATGTGTGCGTAGATATTCAGTATCAAACCGAGATCGAGTCGATAGTTTTACGAAAGAATAGATATACAGTGCCAAGTCATTGGAGCTTGCGAAACAACTTCTCGTACGCGAGAAAAGTCAGGTTGTCAAATACCAAAGAGCTTTCAAATTTAAAAAGATGATGTTTTAATAAAAATTAGATTTCTTATGGGGCCCCCTTTAGCAATTATGAAGGAAGAGAAAAAGCGGGTCTCGAACGATTGTCTCGAAGTGGCCCGGAAAAACTAATCTGATTCCTCTGCGAGAAAGGAGAAGAAAGTTCGAGCATCGTCGATGAAGGCTAACGAGTTGGGTTGCTTGTTAGCCTTCCCTCTCCGGTCATCCTCATAAAAGAAAAAGCAAAGCGCGAAACTTTTCATCTCGCGCAACGGAAAGATCGACTAATTAGCGCCACTGAAATTCAAATTTTCAACTCGTTCGTTGGTTTCCCTCCTTTTTTTCTCTCTCGTTGTTTACGTAGTCTTGCTTTTTTTGGATAATTACCGTGCGACAAAATTACTCATTTCAGGCTTTGAGTTTATTTCTCTTTTCTTTTTTTCTTTATTTTCGTCAAGAGTTAAGTGGCTCGGAATATTTAAAAGTGGAAAATGCCGAAGTTCAAGAAATCGAGTCTCTTAATAAATGATTTTGCATAAATACTGAAAGCGGCGCTACCAATTTCCAGAGAAATCAAACGATAATCAGTTTTCGCGGCTGGCAAAATAATTGAGAAAAAATATATTGGCACGGTGCACAATCGATTCTCTCGGGTGAGCGGAAGAGCGCGCATGTAAAAGTAGTCCAAGCACGTGTAACAAGCTTCTCTGCCTGCTGCAGATTTTAAAACTTTATCAATCTGCTGCGCGCAGGCGCGTGGTACTTGATCACCGAAATTTCACTGGCGTTCGGCAAAAAAAAAGTAGGTCAATAGTTCGATGAGAAAGTTGAGCGCGCGCGCTCTGCGCGTATTAAAGCAAAGCATCCTCTGCGAGCGAAACAAGTTAGCACAAGGAGTTGGCGAATGAATAAGCACACAGCTTTTCGCAAGTGTTAATTCTATAACGAACTTTTGGCTGGAGAGCTAGATCCGATTGCCGTGGTGCGCATTTGGGTAGTTCCTGCTCTGAGTTGGAATTAAAAAGTTTTCGACTGCGAGAGTCGGACTGGAGACTACAGGAAAATAAGATGCTCGGCGGTGTTTGAGCCAATAGCTTGAGGGCTTCTACGGGCTCTCGTCGTGCGGACCAAGTTGTCGGTAACTATTGCACTGGAACGTTCCTCCGTCTACGCGGATGTCTTTGCCTTTGAGATGCTGACGAGAATTTGCCTCGGATGCTACCTCAGCCAAAAGGGAACTCAAGCTACTAAACTTGGATGCGTATTTCATCGAACAGAAAAATAACTCGAGTGATGTTGTTCGACGAGAGAGCTGAATTATCGAAGGTACACAACCATTATTGCTTATATAAACACTAAACTACACATGTATATTTCCTGAAATACATACAATGCTTTAATTACAATTTCTATTCGATTTACCCAAGCAGCACTGCATTTATTACTTTCATGTATAAACTATCAATAGAGTTTGCAATCAAGCGATTGCTAATTAAATCGGGATTCCTAGCCGATAAGCGTAGCGTACTGTTATTAAATTACAAAGGCGATATCGATGTTCAATAGCACCCTAAAATTACTAATCGTCTCGATGAATGATGTATACCGGTTGTAAATTATGCTTCGCGACTGGAATACAACGAACGTATCAATAGTGAAGAGCGAGTTTGTTTCGACATTCGTTGTGATTTTCGGCAAAGCGCAGCCGTTTCCCAGTTGTTTATCGCATGCCAAAAGAAAAGTGCGATGTCTCCAGGTATCCTTTATTAAATTTAGTATTACAGTAGAGAAGAAATCGACTTGGCTTTAGGACGACAAAGAGAGCCCAAGAGTGACTCCATTCATCCGCATGGAGCTCGAGTCTTTCACCGTTTATACACCCACTTCGCGAATGCAGCCATTTAATTCTCCTCCTGAATTGCCGCCGCCAAAACGTACCTACTTTTTCTCCCTCTCTACCTCTCTCTCTCTCTCTCTCTCAACTCTTTTTCTTTACTTTTTTCATTCTCCATTTCCACCGACCTTTTCTAGAACAGCTACCCTCCTCCCTGTAAAGTTTCTAGGGCGAATCTCTTTCGCTCGGCTTGAAGTGAAATATGAAGGTGACTCGATTCTTATATGATGATATGCGTTGAGACTCGCGTGTACGAAGCTTTCTTTTCTACAGGAAAACTTTTTCGGCGAATATAAATTTTTCGAATGAATAAAAAAATGCATTAAATATCGGAAGTGAAAGTTTCACGCTGGCAGCGTAACCGAAAAGTCTGTATATGAGTATATGCAGTAAGCTCGCGTTTGTAAAAATCCTTCGGTGCCAAATTCAGGCGTTGTTCGATAAGTGGGTGCTCGAAAATAGCAGGTTATCCGCAGGGAAAGTCGTTAAAGGCGACTATTCCACAAAAAACAGTATGCCGAAAAGTACGATGAAAATATCAGCTAACTGAAACAACTGAAAAAAATTTAAGAACCTATTCCGGATGTGGAATGGAGCAACAAGGTCCACGTTGGACGCAGTACGAAAAGAAAGCCCTCTACGAGATTCCAA